GATCGGTAAATTAAACATTTTCTTCACTATATGTACAGGGTGGGCCAAATTGGACACTTTTAATGGAAAAGTCATATTCTAGGAAGAAAACTCATGTCGGTGCCCGAGGGTCGATTTTCATGAAAAACATAATGGTGAAATCCGCATATCAATACATATCTGTCTTCGTTCCGGAGAGTTACAAGGTGTTTTTTGAAAATGGGCATTTTTGAATAGTGGCTACAGATATTTGTTTGTCAAAAATTGTCTGTTTTCATGAAAATAACTGCAAAGCATTGAGTTTGTGATGAAAATTGTTCTTGGGGCACTGAAATCGGCCTTCCTATATCTAGTTCAAGAATAAAACTTGTTCTTCTTGAAGAAAAAGTTTTATTTTGCAACTAGGTATACGGTGACTGATTTTCAGTGCCTGAGGATCAATTTTCATGAATAACACGATGCTTTGAAAATATTTTCATAAAAACGAAGAATTTTTGCCAAGAGTTTTAGCCACTTTTCAAAAATTCGCATGTTCGGAAAACACCTTGAAATAAATATAGATGGATCATTTTAATGAATAACACGATGCTTTGGAAATATTTTCATGAAAAAGAAGAATTTTTGCCAAAAAAAGAGTTTTAGCCACTTTTCAAAACTTCACATTTTCGAAAAACACCTTGAAACAATTATAGATATCGATATGCGGTTTTCACCTTTGAGTTTGTCATGTGAATTGATTAACAGGCACCGACATCAGTTTTTTTCTATCTTGTACAGGGTGGCCAACTAAGACTCCAGAGTTCGGTTTTTCTGTTGTCTTGAGAGATACAAAAAAAGTCATGTATCAAAATTGAAGTAATAATCGAGCTTCACATTTCAAAATTTCTTTGAAATACACAGGGTGTTCCGTAAGGTCACAGCAAATCAAAGCTTTGTTTTTTTCATCGAAACACCCTATATTTTATTTCATTTTTGAATTCTTCCTGAAGATCTGATTTCAACGACCCATCATACTTAGGGTCTAGCAGTGAAAGTTACTGACATATAGGGTGTGCAAAATCGAGATTTTCCAAGGTCAGAATTTTTTTCTTCGAAACTGTTCATTATTCGGCAAAACGGTTTACATGTCCCTATCTCAACTTCTCACTCTCTATCAATCTTTATTCTAGGATGAATCCACATCACGAGATTTTCATATTATTCATTGAGCTCCGCAATCTCAAAAACACACAAAATTCATGATGTTTCACCCTCTAGCGCCGAATCTGGTCATACGATCGAGTTGGGCCAATGGAGTCTTTTACTCAGAATGACTTCAGCTACAATATATCAAAAATCCAGCCAGTTTCACCGAAAGACATTTTCCCATATAATGTGTGCGTGACATATGTACAGTGTGTCTTACTTCTAATGGAAACACCCCTGTATCTTACGTTGGGCAAGGATCCTGAAATTTGATGGAGTGGGAGATATACAAAAAATACACAATATGACCAAGTAGGGTCACTGATATACACTGCTGACGATCTCAGGTGGTCGTTGACTGTATCTTTGGACTCTTTCTTCTACCTGCAAATTTCATAATCCTACCTCAATAATTACGTAAGAAATGGGGATGAAAAGTGAGACAAAATTAAATTTTTCGGGTTCGAAAATTTTCCAGCAAAAATATCAATGGTAAATTAATTGGACGTCCAGATTTCGAATACGAAGTGATTTTCGACCTATCTTGCCTCCTAATACCATTTACCGGAAATGTGGGTGGTTCCATGGCTGTTGGTGAGCAGTGTATATCACTGACGATGACCCCACTTGGTCGTAGAATGTGTTTTTGGTATATCTCCCGCCCGTGCAGAATCCTAACTCAACAATTACGTAAGATACAGGGATACTTCCATTAGAAGTGACACACTGTACATATGTCACGCACACATTATATGGGAAAATGTCTTAGTTACTGTATAACATAAGTAAATGATAAATCTTCGTACCATTGGCGACACCTCTGAGATTTCCTGAGCAAAGGCAAGGTATCCCTCCATCATACAGGCTTCTGTTAACGAATGATTAGAATCAGAACTCTACTAATAAAAATAAATAGGTTTCTGTGCGATATTGGTGATTGCAGTATTCCACAAATAGTTCGCCTAAAATGTTTCGCCAATGGTATTGAATTTTGTAGTCACGTGATATAAAAGATTACTTTGGGGACGAAGGAAGATGAAAGCCTCTCTTCCATTTTAGACTTTGAGCATATAACATCTCGAGAATTTTTCATTTTTGATAAATTTCACTCGTAGAAAAATTTGAGGATTCGAGGTTGTCAGATTGTTCTGAAATGTCAAGAGTGAATTGAAGTAGGCCCGATTTCGATTTTAATTGCTCATATCATGCAGATTTAAGTTCAGCTATTTTATTTTAGCACACGGCGTTTCAAAAGTGGCCGCTGCTAGGTGATTCTTGGTTAAAATGATAATTTCATGTTTTTCGCTTTGATAATATTAGTAGCTTGCTAGGTATGCTTCTAATAATAATTTTGCATCAATTTTGAATGATATATGGAATATCATCACTTCAGTTCTTCGAGATATATTTTTTTCATAATATATAGTGTGCACGTGACTGAAATTTCTGGTGAATTTGGAGTTGACCCATATAGAGATCTTGGATTCTGGTCGCAGGACAAACGGAAAACATGTTCAGGTGAGTGTACAGTATATACTTTATTTGATATTGAATCTGTAGTGTTAACTGTCACTCTCACCTGTGCATTTTCTTCTCGGTAAGGATTCCACGATTTTCAATCCACTGAGCCATTTTTTCATATTTTTGGAGCATTAATTTTTGCTTTATGGAATGTACTAGGACGAAGATCAAATATCTTTTCTGTTTGAGTAATTAATATCGAAAAGAAGGTGTCCGCTAGCTCGATATCACTCCTGATATCCTGAAGCAATCTATTTTCGCTCCTTTTTCTTTTTTAAAATACCTTATTTTGTAATCCATATTTGCATGCAAATATAATTTTTTTTGTAGAATATTTTCACTCAATCATCTTATTGTATTGGGAACTGATTGATAGACATATTGTTCATTATATCTAACATTCAACAAATATTGTAATACAAATTTGTTACTGCTATTTTTTTATGAATATTTCACATTGGTCTACCGCAATCCTCAGCCTTCAGCTCCAGATTGTATTTTACTTGACATCCTCCCCTGAATCTCACTGATTTTTATAATGACTTTTTATGTATTGTCAACGAGTCACGAGTGATCAAACGACATCTGGAGATAGTCGTCTAGATCGCCACATGTCTCAGTGCTGAGACAGATCAACACATCGATTGCAAGCTACTTCCTGAGAGCCTAATACCAAAGAAAGTTATGCCTGTGTCCCTGAGAGCTCAAACCAAAGTAGGAGCTATCATCACATTCTTGGGTTCTTGAATATGGTAGCCGGAAGTGGAGGTCTACGTCACGTTAGGGGATTCAAAATCTGGTTTGCAAGTATAGCACTGTGAATCCAGCATTAATATTGATCAAAACTCGTGTGAAGCGATACAAATCAATGGGAGAATCATTGTAAACCACTTGCTATTGTAATCTTAATTTTTTTATTTCAATTTATTTTCTCATATAATAGATTGTCATACTTGAATTAAGTGGTTTAATTGCTTTTACTAAGATAAAAGAGAGTTTTTGAATTTTGATCAACATTATCTGGTATTTCTATTTTTTCTCTATATTTATTCCACAAAAATAGACTGGCGCCCATATATCCCAAGAATTAAGGAAATTATGAAGATCTGTATCCATAGATAGTTTGTTGATCACTGAATACCAATTACGAACTGGACTAACAAGTCAAGGAAATGCGAAATTTGTATTATATAGGGTGTTTCCTAACTACGGTTCCTAACTGCAGGGGGTTGGAACTAATTCTTTACTCACCCTATTTATATGAAATGAGTATGTGACGTTCTCAACATTGGAGAATGTTTGATATATATATATATATGACATGCTCTCCCCTTTCCAATTAAAAAAACTAGGGATTGACGTACCCCTATTTTCGAACCACCCTGTATATAAAAAAAATGTCAGAAATCTTCGATCGAGATAGTTCGTCCAGGCTCAATTGGATCTTTAATTCTCATAAAAGAACTTACCCTGGTTGGTTTAAAATTAATCGAATTGGATTTTTCTCTGTTCACCCTGTTGTAGAGCCCAAAACGTGAAATTATAATGGATACGAGATCGAGATGACATTGTACCATCATTCAGGCATGTTATTCCATGTATGAATGGGCGTATTGAAAATTCTGAGCAGAAAGCTTCACTTTTCATCTTTGACACCCTGTATCTCGAAAACTAGTCAGCCGATTCCATTGTGCCCATAGACACTTTTGCTTAGGGAGTCGAAATCTACCTCATACCAAAAATTCAGGGAATTTAACCGAAAACCATTTTCCATAAGGAAAGTGCGGGGTCCTTTGACATTGAGGAAAAGAGAATCAACCTCAAATAATTTCGATATTACATAATAATATGAGCAAAGGAAAAAAAAAAAAATAGGAACAAAATCTGTCTCAGTCGTTTGGAATCGTTTTTCTGATTCTCCAGGTAAACTGAATGAAATAGTTTGAATGAATAATTTTCCAGACCTAACTTTACGAAGATTTGTTTTGATTTCTGTAATCATTCAACAATACATCCAGCAACTAGTGATCCAGGGTGAACCTAGGGTTTGTAATTAATGGCTACATTCTCTTGGCCCTTTGATCCAGGTCTGATCAATCACATTTGATCCCTGGTTTCCTGTAGGCACCTTCTGTGCCTTTCTTCACTGTTGCTACTCAGTTTGTATTAGTGAGTGGAGTAAATAACCCTTATGAAAACATCTTAAATATCAGTAGTCTCTGTCCGAACAGCGCCAAAATAAGGGCACCAAATATGAAGCCTCTAACAATATTACAAAAATGATATCAGTTGAGTGAATAGAGGAAATACTTTACCTGCATATTCAATGTTATAGCATTTGGTTGACATTTGGAACAAATGCCTTTTGGCCATGGTGGATGATCCTTGCACCCATTCCTGATACGACAAGACATGTCTTCTAATGCTAAGAATTTTCCACGATCTACTCCTGATGTCATTTTACGTAGGTAAGAATGAAAAGAGAGATGCTTAATATTTTGTTCACGTAAGTAGGCTTCATTATAAGGCTCCAAAGGTGAACAATGAACACAGCGTGAATTGGCATTATGACGACACCTGCAAATAATAAGTTATATGTCAAAATAGAAACCCAACCAAATCAATACAGGCAGAACGTTGGAACGTGTGAAAAAACGATGAAGAGTTTTGAATTTTATTCTAATTATTCAGCTGAATGTATAGTGTTTCCCGGGTGAAATTTTCCCCCTTGATTTGAAGAACTGCTAATTTGGTAACCAGTATATTTGGTGGTGCTTTATTCGAAATAGGATATGAATTTATCAATGTTTACAGGCTAATACCAAAGTCCTCACATGAAATTGAAAAAAAAAACGAATCAAACAGATGTAGGATTTCTTCTATATTTTCCTTTAACAGAATAAAAGTAGTTTATCCTATATGTCACATGATGTGAGAATGGAAATACGAACATTAATTTTTATAGGTCATAATATATGGTTATAAAAATCATGGATATCTAGTGACAACAAGGCTGTCCGACATCGGTAAGGGAAAGAAATTTACTACGAAAAAATTCCGCCCCAGTCATTTCAAAAATTTTACCAATAGAAACATTTTCTGATCATCATATCGAATATCGGACGTCCGATGACGGATACATGGAAACTCTCCGTAATAATTATGTACTGGACTTCCAAAACGTAATCATAAGCATGAAAACCATATAGTGAATTGCAATGTCAGAATTTTGGGAAACAATGACGAATACAACTACCGGATTAAGAAATCATCGAAGCCAAAATTTCAACGTTGAACGTAAATTATGTGAGATTCAAAATCATGACTTGCCATTATTTCAAGAATAATTTTGACAGCTGCACTTTTTTTTACATAATCTATGACCCTGTATCTTCATCACTAGATTTTTTTCAAGGCGAGTTGGATCAAAATATAATATTCTGGTGTAAGAAACTACTATATTTCTATGTACAACTTAAGGATCACACTGAATACCAAGTTACATAAGAATTTTCTTCAAGTCGAACAGCATTAGTTTCCAAGATGCTTCAACATCGAGGAAAATAAGATGCGCAGGGATGTAGGCACTTGCACCACGGTTTATACGTATATTACTGCTTTCAACACTAGCGAATTTCGCCTTAATATAATATGTCTTCGTGCCTTATTTGTCATTTCCAGTCGCCCAGATCTGTCAGATGAGTGACATCTCAAATGAAAATCATATTCAGAGCATTATACAGGGTTACTGGTAATTCGTTACATTCCTTTGGAGATGTGATAGGAGAAGTGGTAAGGAGTGAATTAAACCCTAATATGCATTATAAAATAATTTAATAGTTTTCGAGATATTCAATTTTTTTTGTTTTTCTCCAAAAGGTAGACTTCAATGGTTTAAAAGTTAGTTCCCCGAAAATCTGCTCAACGTTTTTTCAACCTTTCAACTAGAATACATGATCAACACTATGGACTCATGTTTCACATGAAAAAATTCCAGAAATAGTTTAGATCATAGATACATTGTAAATAAAGTCGTATTTTCGTTCGTGAATAAATAAACAGATAAACAGAAAAATATAAATTTCTCAAAAACTATTTACTTCTGCATGATGATTAGGGTTAAATTCACTCCCTACCGCCTCCCCTATAACATCTCCAAAGGAATGTATCCAATTACCAATAACCCTGTATATGGATGTGACAGGTTATTTACTTCTGAAGCGGAATTGTGTTCAGACACCATGATAGTAAAGAATATCATTAATCATTATCACCCAGGGACCAAGATTACATACATACATACTGGATGTCAAGAAACTAGAATTTTCAAATAGAAATTTTACTCAGGAGAGATGAAATGGATTGTCGCTTTTGAGAAAAATAATAATCGAACAACTTATAAAACGAGCCTTTAAAATCTTTCTTTTTTATTTTCTGTCGCGATCATTGCTGGCCAGCACACACACGGGAATAATGAGGAAGCCGAAATCACAACAACTGTGACAACACCATCATTGTCTGTTTCACAAAATTATGGAATTTTTAATAGCGGACCACACTTGCTTTCTTGCGTGGAGATCGTACCGAATTGTCTTATCTCCTCTTCCTAGTTTCACCACAAAGGGCGCGCTAAAGATTTTAAAGGCATTCTCGCGATAAATATGATACCAGGAGAGGTCTGAAAGTATGCTCGATTTTGGGTTGATGGTTAATTAAATTATAATAAAACAAAATTGATTAAAACTATTAAACAAACACAACAAACACCTACGTGGGGACAAAACACTGGATGTCTCATTGGGAAACGAGCAAACTTCATCAGTGAATAGATGTCATAAGGTGATTCTGATTATACCAAATTTGTAGCGTGTTACAAGTTTTATATTCGAGATATAGGGTGTTTCATCAATTTTGCTCAATTATTTGTGAGGGCATAACTTACGAACCACCCAGTAAATATTTTTGGAATTGGGTACACAAGTTCTCCTTCTTTTACCCAAGTGACTCGCCTGAACGAAAATTATCATATTTCAGGGCCCCAAGAAGAACACCCTGAATTTTCGAATTTTCAAAATTCGCTTGCATATTTAAAAAGTGCACAGAAAGCTAAATCGAGTTGTTTACCTTTTATTTTTCCGCATGCTCTTTCTCTATAATGAATTTCTGATTTTGAATTTTAGGCTTCACGCATTTGGATGGGTCAAAATGGAATGTTTTGAATTTTACAAATCGAATAACAAAATTGACCACAATTTTTGATTCGATATCCTATCGAACACTCATCGTCAGCATTTGTAACCCTGATAAATACGCTAGTGTGTCTTCATGTTTCAATATCACTATTGAATAGTCAGGTATTTGTGAAAATAAATTGAACGAATCAAAGGGCATAATAACATACCACAGTTGAAACAATTTTATTTTCCTCCGATTGGCAGCAAATATTAATTTTGCTGACACATATCGATCAGCAAAGTATTAATTTTCCTGCCTAGGCAGCAAAGTGGGTACTTTGCTGCCTAGGCAGCAAAGTGGTTACTTTGCTGATTGATATGTATCAGCAAAATAAAAAATCCATAAATCGTTTATAATTTCCTTCATATTCCATCCGAGACTTATCCGGCAACAAATTCAACTCTATATTTTTTGCCACCTCCCTTATTAATGGAGGTGTAAGTATACTTCCAGGTCGCTATCACTGTCCATTATATAATAATTTGAATATACCGATATTTTTTCGCACAACTGTCAGAAATTTCATGAATTGTCAAACCAACAACTGCGATTTCTATCAAATTTTATTTTAATTGAACACTATACAGGAAGAATAAAGAGATTGTGGGAATTGTATTAATTCGCAAATACAATATTCTCCCATAGCATTATAAACAATCGGAGAAAAAATTATATGTTCAACTCGGCAGCAAAGTAGATTGACTGCCTTAGCTGGATTCCTAGCCTCGCTACGCTCGGCTATGAATTCAGCCACGGCAGTCAATCTACTACTTTGCTGCCTAGTTAAACAAATAACTATTTCTAAAATATCAAAATGAAAAGAACAAAAAATTTACTTTCTCAACTTGTCATCAAAATGGGGGCTAACATATTTGATTGTTCACCAGATCGCGCTACTGAGACGCGAACTGATTGGGATTATTCAGATTTTTATTTCATTTGGCTTCTTCCTATGAATCTTCTTCACTCTTAATGCAAAAATTGCGTGTAAATGTTTACATTGGGAGTTGAAAACGCAAGACTGATCAAGTCCAACGATAACTTGGGCTCTTCTATTTGTTTACACAGGCCACATCATTATTTTCAGAAATTTTTCGGAAAAAAAGGTCTTAGCCTTCAGGGCTATCCGGCAAAATTTTGAGAGTTTTGACTTTGACACAGACCTCACGCTCTAGTAACGCCAACTGGTGAGACTGAAAATGTTAGCCCACATTATTTCTCAAAAGTGACCTCTATTTTGATCCAAAAATGTCGTGCTCTCTTTGAAATATTTCTTACTGATTTTAGGATGACATCTCAATCATATTTCATTTCTCTGCATGCTTCTTCAATTCTCTGAATTATCTCCTGATATCCTTTGGATTTAAGATATAACCCCACAGGTGATAATCGGTTGATTTTGAAGTTCAGTCAAGAAGCCCCCCTCATCCAATCCATATTAATATTATTTTCACTTTTACACATCGAATCACTGAAAATGTACCGTTAGAATTTCATTCGTATGCCTGTGGACCACACGTATTCCGATAATCAGTGAGAAATGTTTGGATCAAAATCAAGACTTTGAACAATTATTATAGTATTTATGTTACGAGTAGTTAGATTTTTTTTGTTTTCATGTTATTTTGATATTTGAGGAAATGAAATTGTTTCAATAATTATTATATCGATTGATTTGTTCAAATTCGTTCCAAAAATGAATCAGTATTCAACAGTATTATTGAAATGTCTTGAGATACATTGGCGTATTCATGAGGGTTACAAATGTTGACGATAAGTGTTCAATAGGATATTGAAATAAATTGCGGTTATCTCAAACATACCATTTTCAATTATCCAAAGCATGAAATCTCAAATTCAAAATTAGAAATTCACTAGTAAATGAGCTTGCGGGAAAATAAAAAGTACACAGTCCGATTCATCTTTATGTACTCTTTTTAAATTTGTAAGAAGATTTAGTGTTATTTTCGGGCCCCAAAAATGTGATCAATCTTTGTTAATCCGGTCCCTCATTTTTCTGCTAAATGATAAGTGTGTCGCTTGGATAGAAGTAGAAGAACTTGTGTACCGAATGTCAAAAAAATCTACCAGGAAGGGGGTGATAGGTCATAACATTTTAACCATATCTAACCATATATACTATGATACTAAGTGTTAAGCAATTCTCGAATCCTGCGAGTCCCGTAAAATCAGTTCTGGATCGTGTTATGTAAAATATTTTTTCTGTAACCATTTTTTGAATTTGAAAAGCGAAAAGACACACCAATGTTACATGACAAGCAATGTCATAATAAAATACAAAATCGTCTCGAAAGTAACAAGAATCTTCCCGAAAATAATGG